GAGAGATAGAGAGAAGTCGCTAACCGGCTATATTGTGTTGTTCAATTTTTTTTATAGGTTTATCGTGTCTTTAGTGGTATATCATATCTTTGTTATAAAATAATATTTGTTTTGCGCTTGTGAGACTTGAGAGCTCCTTCGTAAGAGAATCGAAGGAATAACCGCCTCTCTTCCGAATTATAAAACGGCTGTAATTGGCCTGTCGTTTAGAAGTAGCTCATATATGTGTAACGCGAGTATAAAAATCTCGAAACTTTCGGAAAAGTGCGAACTTCTTTCTCCGGACGCCGCAGAAAAATCAATTCGCAATAAACAGAGCAATATACATATACGACGATTCCCTCAATCTTATTAACGTTGACGCTCCGCATCTTGATCCTGACTGTCGCCTGATATACATTAATAAATTAGAGCGAGATCTCTCTACACGAGTTCGACTGACTACGATTGAAAGAAAAAAAGGTCAAATCAAAATATCATTGCATTCCCAACGAAAAATGATCGTCATCGATTCGACAACGAATCCACGTTGATTCGACCATCATTTCTCACTGGGTTATATCGTTTATTAGATTTCGTTATAATATTTTATACATGTTTAAATTAAATATATAATATGCTTATTACATCTAATACGCCATTTTCACTTTTAAAAATAAATCGTTTAAAACTCTCTAATCAATTAATAAAAATCATTAAGAAAACTATTTATTTTTAATTATAATTTTCACTTATTATCTCTTAATGCTCTTACTTATAATGTCCTCAGTCAAATATAGTTGTTTTGCACGTACCAACACGATAATAGATAAGAAAATTTAATTAATACAAAAATTTTGCTTATTATATATTCTCTATCTTTATTTTTAAACCGATATATGTAAAATCAAAACCAAAGAATTTTATTAACATAAATGAAAGGCAAGTGTTAAAAGTAAGTAATAAGAATATAGAATATTTTCCAACTTACCTGAATGTGCACCACATATCAAAGCTCATTATATTTAGCCAAAAGGAACTCGCCATAACACAAAGGTATCTTAAAAAGCCTTTAAAAATGAATAAAATTAAAGCTGTAATAATTAATAATAATAATAATATATAATATTAATAATATAAATATAATTATAAATATAAATATAAATATATATGTAATTTGCTCTTATAGTTGAGAAATAAATAAGAAGCAGAATTAGACCAAAATAGCAACGCGAAATACATATAATTTAATCGCAAATACAATTTTATTTAATAAAAATATTTTTTTATTAAATAATGAAACTTTGTATTTGCGACTTAATTCTAACTTTCGACTAACTTCGCGTTGCTCTTTTGATCTATTTTTTGCCCTTAATTTATTTCTATATATTAATAAATAATAATACATTATTTGTCATTACTCGTTAAAATTTTAAAAATTCAAAGCTATCACATTTATGTTTCTCCAATAAAATAGATTTATTTTAACTTTCTACACTCAATTTTATAGTAATAATTACGTATTAAATACTACTAACATCAAATTAAACATGTTTGATTCTAAAAAGGAAGTTCTGCAAAATTTAAAAACCCAAAAAAATATAATTATTTGAGACAAATAACTTATATTAATAATATATTAAAATGCATTTAAATAAAATTTAAATGCCATTCGCTGTTTTGCATTTAATCGATTTTAACAAATAATAAATTCAAATAATTATTAAAATTATTAATTAAAATATAATATGCAAATATCCATTAAATATCTGACAAGTATAAATGCGCTATATTAATTGCACAGTTTTATGACTTAGATATATACTCTACCTAATGTAACGCGGACGTGATACTGTACACCATTCGATTTGATCATTGCATTTACAAAAGTAATTCCGAAATCAACAATCATGGCACCGCTGTAATTGCGCAACATAAAGCCGTGTTTATTTCGGAGTTCTGGCAATATAGAATACACCAGAAATACTGACCCCAAAAGTAATATAGATACTATATCGGTACTTATGCTCAAAATATCTCGTCAGAATTCAAGGGCTCATCATTATCAATTATCTCCTCGATCTTGTCATAAGTTTCGGAACAGTAGGTCACTTGGAATTCACTCCCGTCGACGACGGCGAGACAATATGATGACGATTCAACAAATATTTCATAATAAGATAAATATATAGAACCGTTGGTAAAAATCTTATAATCGTTACAACCTTCAGCAAGCAGAGCGTAAACTTCCGGGCACGAATCATAAATAGCCAGGTCAAACAATTCGTTCACTCTCTTTTCGCTCTGCGTCGAATCATTCGTGTATACCTTTGGAAAAATGTATTCAAATTCTTCAGGACTGCAGCTGTCATCAACGATACGCTCACCAAGAAAACAGCAGAACCGAATGCAAGTATCATTATGACACATTTCGTTTGGGACGATATTAGTTTCGTTAGCATTTTTGCTAAAATTTTGAAGACTTCAAGTGACATGGAATCATTTTTTTCAATTACATTTTCATAATTTTCCCGGCGTAAAATTTCTTTTATGATTGACATATGTCGAATTCGTGTCAAATTTCATCGATTTTTGCTCATCATTTTTATTCTGCATTGAATGCTTGTAACGTTTATGTTGAATCAAATCATTATCCTCGCGATTGTTATTCATATGAAATTCATGCTGCATTTTGTCATTTTGTGTATTATTCATCAAGGTTTTATGCAAATCATGTCGCAGTGTTATTATTTCGTCGTTATAATTTGTTGTAGAAGCCGTATTCATCTCGTATCCTATCGTCAAATTATCATCCTCGTTGGTGGAATTTTGCTGCGATTTCGATAACGAAATGACGACGAGAAGCACGAAAAACACAAATGCAAACATCTTTCCACTCATTATTTCACATAAGAATAAACATTCGAATAATTAGATAATCAAATTTAGTGTTCATAATTTTTCATTAAGTTTTAAATTTTCAATAATTAAAAAATGTCATATTAAATTTATGCATACCTTTATTTTGTATTAATTGCAATAAAATGTGTCAAGTGCAAAACATAATAACATAAAATTATTTTATTTTATTTCTCAGCAAAATCTCGAAAAAGCGATCTGATTTTAGCACTATTATAATATTAATATTGACGATTGCACATCCTGAATTTTAATTTACCCACAAGATTAAAGTCAGTATTATTCATTGTATATCCGGCTTTTACTTTTTTTCAGGTAGAATGCACAAGATATACTTGCATGGGAGAGAAGATGAGACTACCGAGGGCGACGAGTCGTCGATAACTTTGCGAGAAACTGTCTGCCTACTATATTATATGGAACTATATATATATAACTTTTACATACTATATACAAAGAAAACAAAAAAATTATTAAAACTTTTCCTGACGATAGCTCGACCAATTTAGCAGCAAAATAATAAAATAATCTTTACTGTTTTTTTAAATATTTAATGCTTAAATAAAATCTTTAAATTTTCAAAAATACCAGAAATAAGAAATAAATTGATGCGCAGCAAAAGTCAAATAACATAATTGTTTACTTATTAATTATTTTTAAATGTATATTAAATTGTAATTATTTTATTTATTTAAATATTTGTATATAAAAAGAGTGATAGCAAAAAGACCTGTTTTTTCGCCCATTTTATAGATCGAATTTTGAGATCTCAAATTTCACACTTTTTTATGTCAAATAGTCTATCTGCTTCAAAAAGGGCTGTATCATCAAATTTGAACAATAATGAACTTAAAACAAATATATGAATCATACTCTCAAATAAAACATAAAATGTAATTAAGAAAAGTATCTGTTCTGATATGATCACATTGATGTTGATTAATTTTATCTGAGGAAATTAAATAATCATATAATTGCGTAATACATATAACTTTAAAATTGTATATAAAGTAATTAATATGAGTAACTCTCACCTTGTATACAAGGTGATATAAAAATAATTAATGAGTAACTCTCATCTTATATATATATATATATATATATATATATATATATACATATAATTTATATATATATATATATATGATTAATATTTTAAACATACTAGCTATTTTTTGTAAATTGCAGTACATGCTCATGTTTCTTCGTATTATAATTTAAAATAATTTTTATTTTATGTATGCGTTAATTTTTTTTTGTTATTGAATACGAAAAAGACATATTTATAATTGACTGTAATTTTAAAAAATTCTGAGACGTATCTAGTCTTAAGTTAATTAAAATAAAAAATGTTTAATGTTCATGTTGCAGAAAAATAAATAATTATTTAAATTGAATTTTTACTACTTGTATTATTATTAAAATACGAATCTTTTTCCTGCATTATATATCGAAATAAATTAATAATTAAATTAAGTGTCACTATTATGTTCAATAATATTTAGTAAAACTAGATTTGTAATTAACAGTCATAATTTAATGTTTGCAATTTAATATTAATTCTAATTAATGTAAGGTAATTTTGATTATATCTATTGTAAATCAATATATACAAATGTTGATTGAATTGCATTTTCTAACAAAACGACAATTTTTAATGCATTTTACGAATAGTATTGAACATAGTGAAATGTAAATAAATTAATTTATCTTAATGTATATAATATAAGAAAAAGGTTTATATTTTCTTACTTCTTAATTAAATATATAATTACTATTTTAACAAGAAATGATTGGTCGTATTGACATCGAATGCCGACAAATCAAAGTCGATTCGACCATCATTTCTCGCTGGATAGTGAAGAAAAAATAATTAATATTGAGTCAAAATCAATTTATTCTGAGTCGAAAACTCATCGAAAATTGTGACATAAATCAATCGAAATCGATGATATATCATTTAGTTTTCGACGATGATTCGACATCAATTCGATAAGTCATTTCTCGCTGGGTTAAATTTGAAAAAGAAACAGGATAAAATAATATGCCTTTGCTACGAAATCCGAAAATATATATGAATTATAATTATTAATCTTAAACATAAAGATTAACATAAAAAATATGATTTTAATTTTCAAATAAAAATTAAAGGTCGGTCCTATCATTGTGACTTCGTCCGAAAGAAATCTTCTTCTGATTGACTATTTCTTTTGATGTGATAATAACGTTCGACGATGTTGCATTTTATCCAGATCGAGCTTTTGGCAACAAACCGCAGCCGAATCGCTTGAATAACATGCGCTTCATCTTTTTTTTCCACAGAAATATGATAAAGGTGCAGATTCTTCATAATGTCCAGCAAATCAAAAACATACGAGTTGAAAATTGATACATTTTCAGATAATACTTCCGCTGTTAACATAAGCCATTTTATGCCTATTAAGATAAACAGTACGATAAATAGCTTCAGATATAGATTAAACCTGCAAACAAATATATAATTTTCATAGTTCTTGTGAATATATAATGTATGAAATTTATTTTGTGTATAAAACTTATATGAAATTTTTAAAAAGTTTAAAATTTGTATTTTTGTGAAATACAGGTGCATTTATTAATTTGATTTTCGTTATTAATTGTCATTTTGTTTAGAATTGCATAGATTTTCGAAGAGACAAGTAAAGTGTATATTCTTGAAAATATTACAAAATAAAAAAACTAAATCGGCGAATAGAAAAGATGTCGTCTGCAAATGACAATCTATGGCCAGTATTTATAATCTGAATTTAAATTTAACTAATCAAGCTCGGACTTAAGATTAAATATAAGATCGGACTATAATTATTAATACCGACCTAACACTCTCTTGTATAAAAAAAATGCGAATCGATCAATTATGCGATGCTGTTTGTATAAATGTTAATAAAAATGTTAATAAAAGTAGCATAAATTAATAAAATAGATTATTATATCTCAATGCAACAATATCTAAATACATACCATTTTTTATTATCGTTATAGCACTTGCTCTCCGAATCTATCAGACGATGACCCGTATCCTTTTTGTAACGTCCAATTTTTAATACCGTAGAAATAGATAAACAAATGCTACTAATAATGCACATACTTTTGAGCACATAGTAATACAATATAAACGCAATTATATTTTCTCCTACAAGTGTGCGATGCAAAAAAATATATTTTTATACTTATTTAATTTTCTATATCTTGTAAATGTGTGAAACATAATTTAAGTTTTAAATAGTGTATATAATTTTTATTCAATAAATCTTCTAAAATTAATAACAACTAAGCCAACTAAACAAGCAAGGAAATTTTAGATTAAATAACTATATTTTAATATTTTAGTTAGCCATTTAATTGGTTTAGTTCTTCTTGTTAATGTTTGAGTTTACGCAAGTCTCTAATTATTAAAATTCTTCAAATATTTTAAAATTAATAGAGTTATATCCGTCAGTGATGTATACTCACCATTTAATATGCAACCGCTTGAGCGAAATTTTGGTTGAAAAATTTCTGGCACGCATGTAATAAAATCCATAATACTACAAACAATATCCAGGATAAAAGGATTCCCCACGCGTAGATTGCATAAAATAACAATTTCTTTCTCTGTTGCTGTTTCACATTTCGTTGTAACGAAAAGAATGTTCTGTGAGAAAAATTATGTTATATTTTGCCAAAAACGATAGAAAAAAAATAATGCAAATGCACATTAAAATCATTGTTTTCGATCGCGGTTCTCAAAAACTTATTCTATATAAAAATAGACATTGTATACGACTATACGAATTTTACCATGCATTCATATTATTGATTTAATGTGTATATGCAGTTAACATATAACATGTGTATTATATATGCAAGAAATTATTCTATATAAATCATTTTCTTTTAAACGTTGATAATTACATTATAAAAAAGAAAATAAAATATAAAATATTTTAGAATGATTTGCCTGAATGTCCACCATATATCGAAACTCATCATATTTAACCAGAAGAAGCTTGCCAAAAAACAAAAGTAGATTAAGAAGGCTGAAAAATGGAATAAATAATATTTTAATTATTTATCATGTCTAAAGTTCTATTCACTTGTCATTATGTTTCACTTTTTCCGCGTCAAAATTTTTGCAGCAATCTTTATAATAAATTTTACTAATATTAAATTAAATAATGTTTCGATTTTTTTAAGACATACATTACTGAGGCAAACATAGATTGATTAGATGTCAAATTGTAAAATTCAAATTTAAATCTTACTCATTATTAATTTTTGCGTTTTTAAGATTTTAATAAATTATATATTCAAGAAATAGTAAGATAATAAATAATAAATTCGCAAAAATATAATTATATATTAATATATATATTAACACAATAATATATTAATATATTATATAATATATTAATATATTAATATATTATAATAATATAATAATATATTAAAATAACAAATATATACATTGTATCGATTGCATCTAGTTATGTAATTTACATATATACTGTACCTATTGTAACGCAGACGGAATCTTGCACAGAATTCGTTCTAATTATAATATTCACAATGTCAATTCCGTATGCAACAGACAAGGCACCGATGTAATTCCGCAATATGAAGCCGTGTACATTTCGGAGTTCTGGCAGTATGGAATACACGAGAAATATCGGCAGCAAAAATAATAAAGATCCTATTTCGGCGTTCAAATCTATGTAGTTTATTTTATTCATTTCTACTGAAAGATTACTATTAGGCGCTGTTACAGGAAAAATCTCAAAAGTGCTGCTGGAATTTTTAAGCAATTGATCGTTTTCCTCTTCGATCCTCGTCAAATTCTCATCATTACATGTGGAGTTGATGCGACAATCTTCGTATTGGGTATTTTTGAAAAGATTTTTATACGAGTCATGTCGCAGCTTTTCTGTTTGGTCGCTATAATGTGTCGTAAAATTTGCGTTCAATTCGTCATTTTCTTCATTCTTGAAATTTTGAGATTCCGCAAACGGACGAAGCGCACAGCACCACATTCTGGACTTTTTTCCATACATCGTTAATTTTTTAATACATCATGTAAACACTTATCATTTTTAGTAATTATTGATATGCTGTGGAAATAAAGTTACACTAATGAAACGTTAAGCTACAATAATTTAGCGAGGCTTTTTTCTCAGGAAAGAATTAAGAATCTGTTTTCAAAGAATCTTTTCTCGTCAATTTATCAAGAAGAAATTAATGACAGAAAGACACTTCAATTGAACAGATCATTAATCGATATAATAATATAATGTAATATAATACTAATACTTTTATACTTTTAAACAATTTGGACATAATTTATAAAACTGAGAATCTGAAGATATTTAAAAATAAATAGATAATCAAATTAATAAAATTTAATCTATATCATAAAAATAATTTAGATAATGATTGAAAATAATTAAATAATTAAACCAACAAAAGCTAAATCAATCAAATTATTATGTAGATATTCTACATAATACAGAATATCTACATAAAAAGTTTTTTGTCGATTTAATTATCTAATTATTTTTATGATGGATTAAATTTTATTGATTTAATATATAGAATAATAAATAATTGAAAAAAATACTTAGCTGATTTAAAAGTGCAAATGTACAAATGTAATAAAATGCAATTATTATCCATTTTTTTTTATTTTGCGAAATATCAAGATTAAATCTAGTTTTATTCCGATACTGTTATCACTAACAATTATAATAAATTTTTAATTTCACTGGACTCGATAAAACTGACACTGTTTTCATGACTTCTCTCTTTTCATAATAGATGAGAAAAGAATAAAGTATAAGAGAAACGTATTCGAACGAACAACGGGATGAGACTATCGAGAATGCAAGTCTTCGACATTGAAGCAACCTGATGCAAAATATATATGGCGGTAGAAAAAACAGTATAAGAAATGTCTGCACATATAATAACTTCACTAAAGATTTAATTACACCAAAGATATGTACAGTCAAGGAATTTATCTAGAAAAGCATTTAAGTACAAGCCCGCGAAAAAAATTTCAGCCACTCTTTTATGTCATTATTAAAAATGATATAGGTATTATTTAATAATTCTGTAATATATTTTTACTTATACATATAATTTGTTACCTTTTCTATGTTTTTTCGTTCTCTAATAATTTTATAATTATACATATTATGAATTAATCAATTCTACTCATGAATATACGCGTCCATAATTTTGCGACGGCCCATATAATTTTTATGCACAAATTATTAACAGATAATAATTCATTAGTTATCAACAGAAGTAAATTAATTCATATATTTTATAGCAAATTAATATATTACAAAAATGGAAAGAGATAAATGTTAATATTGAGATTTGCATACATAAAGATATGCACATATAAAATGAAACGTAGAATAATAGAGGATAATGTAAGGATTTTTGGGCGCGTGCTTGTTCGATAATTAATGTTTCGCTACTATCGCGGATCGGGAGAGGATATTTTATCCGGAAATATTAATTTAGAGTGCAAAGTATATTGTATTTCACTGCATTTAGTCGTGTCACAAAGATCTCATACAAACTTTTTACTCTCCACCGAGAAAAACCGTGTTACGCGAATGCAAGTCAAATTCTATCTGCCTCTTCGAGGCCGCGCATTGTCTCGCTTCTCTCGATCATTCCTCGACCTTATTTTTATTTTTAGGTGATTAGACTCTCTTTATTTTAAGGTATTCTCGCTTTTTATTATGTTCGGAAATCGAAATTTATCTTCGTCATGTTAGTCGCTCGTTTATTTATTTATTGTTTTGTGTCACCGGTCGCGATATCCTTAACACACGTCGCTTGTAATTTTAATTTTTATTTTGTATATATTTTATATGCTTGTGGCATTTATCGCCACATTGTTAACACATCGGTTTATCGTTAGTCGCCAAATTCTTGCATTCTGTCCTGCTAAATATAAAATAAAAACAAAATACTTACTATTCCAAAACCGGTTTACCTGGTTTATATATCCAGTTTTTCAAATCCAAGTTTTAATCTATATTTAGACGAATTTATGTTGTGTGTGATTATACATTAAAATTCACAAAAATTTTATTATATAACAATTCTCTTGATTTTGACATTAAAATATAATACAATTAATCTTTTTGTTCTTAAAATTTTAATAAATTATCCATTTAAGATTTAAGTATTATCATTAAAATATAATTAACGCGCGCGCTTATATGCAAGTAGATACATACTAATCATTTTAATAAGTAAAATATTTATTTTATATTGATTCTACATTGATTGGGTATATTATACCGATATATTATAACACACAATACACATATTACACTGATTTGGGTATATTATATCGATATTATAACACATAAAATATGCGTTAGACATTCCTTTCTTTCGATTGCCTATATTATTAATAATATTCGCAGCAGATGTCAAAGCAATATTTTTGACAGTATAGTATATGTACAAAATGTTCCCAGTAAAAACAGTGTAATCATTATACGCATATTTTTAATTACGATAATCTTATATAATTATTATTATTTTTTTATTTTTATTTTTGTTTTTAAAACATTTTTTTTTTGTTCTTTATTTTTTATTTTTTAATTTTATTATTTAAAAGTTAAGATTTTGTTGGCAGCAGGTGGAAGTGTTTTTTTTCTTAAAAAATTATTTATTATTTATTTTTTGTTTTTAAAATGGTTTTTTTTTGTTTTTTGTTCTTTTTTATTTTATTATAATTATTCATAAACTTTTTTTCTTTGATTTACAATCTTCAAAAGGATAATCAAATCAAACTTGTTTTAATGAAGACAAATTAGAATGTTTATTGTACAAATATATAATTATAAGGAAAATACAAAGAATAATTAGTGAAGAGAATATTCGTTTATATTTTGCATAGAAATTTAGAGTTCAGACCCACTGGGTGAACATTTAACGTGACAGTTATCCTGTGCGTAAGAATTCTTGTCTTGCATAGCCACTTCAGACGTGGTGGTGCTCGATGTTACAGTCGTCTGTCGAACGTGTGAACCGCATCCAAATCGCTTCAATAACATCATCTTGATCTTCTTTTTACATATGAATGTAATAAAGGTGCAAAGATTCTGCACGATGTCTACGAAGTTAACAGTAAACGAGACGTAAATGAATGATCCAGTCTGAATTTCTTCAAACCAAAATAACGCTGGTAGCATAGACCATCCTATACCCACGCCAAACCCCATCACGACAAACCGCATAATAAATAACTTCAGATACAAATTAAACCTGCAAACAAATATATATTTAAATTTGGATATCTTTTCAATAAAAATAATACTATTTATTAATTAAGAGTTTAACTATTTATTAAATTTACTATTTATTAAAAAGGCTATTTATTAATATTATAAATATAAAGCCCTAATAATAAATATAAATTAGAGGAACAAGAGCCATAAAGAAATTTATTTAAAAATAATACTATTTATTAAATTTTCTATTTACTAAAAATATTTATTAATATTATAAATATAAGGCTCTAATAATAAATATAAATTAGAAGAACAAGAGCCATAAAGAAATTTATTTATTTTTACTCTACATTGACGTATTAATTACCACGCCTGGCTCTTAATTAAGAGGCGTGGTAATTAATACGCTAATGGAGAGTGAAAATATTAAATTAGTTCTTTAATCAGTTATCACTTTACATTAACGTATTAATTACCACGCCTGGTTTTTATAATTGGTCCTTATTCCTCTATAATTTATAACTATTTATTAAATCATTTTTTTACAAAATGGAATGTGTGTGAATTACAATCCTAAAAGAGAAGAGAAGAAAGAAATAGTTGTTTTGAAGAAATTTTTGAAAAATATAATTTTCTTTATGAAATTAAATGTATTCTTTAACTTTATTCTCTCATTATTTTCCACATTTCGAGAATTGCAGACCTCCTCGAAAATAAAAACAGAATTAAAGTTACAACGATATATTTTTCTTTTCTATAGATTATGTACGTTAAAAGAAAAAAATAGAAAACGAGAAAATACTAAGCACCGAAAAGATGTTTGCTTCAAAATAATTATCTCTTCCTTTCATCAGAATTGCAGCTCAATCCATATGTAATGTAATATTTTTGCAGAAATATTGGCAAAAATAACATATTAGATTGGCTCATTAACAAACTACATAGAAGACTATCACACATCGATGCAAAAATAATACAGACCATTTCTTATTATCATTATACCGTTTGCTGTCCGAATCTGTCAGACAAACATCTGTATCCTTCTTGTAACGTTTAATTTTTAGTGCCGTAGAAATGGATAAGCAAACGCTATTAATAATGCAGACACTTATAGGCCCGTAAAAATACAAGATAAACGCATCTGTCTCTGTAAGTATAAAATGTCATGAATTTTTATACTGTTTCCCATACAGCACAAAATATTTTTAAAATCTAGTAAAAATATTTCTTAAAAAATAAAATAATTCTCGAAAATATTTTTAAAATGTTTCTATGTCCGCTTTTTAATGTTTAAAAAATATTTTTGAATATAGTTTTAAACTAATATTTCAAAAATATGTATGAAATATTTAAGAAAATATTATCTGAGCGATAAAGAAGATCATTTTTAATAATATTTTTAAACGTTTTTGAAAATATTATGAAAAATGTTACCACAAAAAATTTTTTAAATTATTTTAAAATATTCCACCATTTTAAAATGTTTTTATGCAATATTTTATGGAAATATTTAGAAATATTTTTTGAAAACATTCATAATATTCTGTGTTGTGTGGGTTCTCACAATACGTTAAAACGCTATCGCATTGATACAGTTATCTTCACTTACCATTGAACCAGCAATATCCTAAATGAAATTCTGGTCGCAAAATCGGTGGTACATTTACATACACAGAAAGAAAATCCATGCTGACACATAAAATAGCAAGCATAAAGGAACATCCCCACGCAAAGATTGTATAATATATCAACTGCCTTTTTTTTCGTTGTCTGACGTTTCTTTGTAACGAACTGAATCCTCTGCAATTTATACATCATATTTAACAAACAATAGATAAAAGAAATCAGAATGTAAAAACGTTAAAATAATATGTCTTTGATCAAATCACTATATCATACTATAAAACAAAGATTCAGCTTGAAGAATCCATTCTTAAAATTGCTGTACGATGATTTTTAACGGTGTTATGAACTATTAAGGTGAACATGACATTTTCTCTTTAATTTGCGATAACTTGATAAGTAAAGATCGACATTTACATTTTAAAAACAATTTTGCAAGAAGTAATTCGAACTGTAACATGAAAATGTCATGAAATTTTCAAATTTTTTTGTGCATGCGACACGTTTACCTTGTAAGAAAAAATTTTCCATTTCGTCATGTTTTTCGTTTTTTGTATATAAAAAATATCAATATTGAAGAAAATGAAAAAGCTGTAAACCATTGAAAGTAGAGATTTCAAACTTTAAAACTTTTTTTGAAAATTTAAATTTTCATTATTCAAAACAAAGTTACAGCTATTTAAAGTTTGCCTATTTTTGGACAATTGTTTTTCTTTTTATGCCTTAATTCTTTTAAGGAGTGTATATTTATATAACTATTATACAGACAAGACAATAATACTTTAAATTTTTATTTAATTTTGAGAGACAAATTTTTGATAAATATTCTATTTTTATTTTGTAAAAAGGTATCGTGTATTGCTTTATTTTATAAATTTAAAGAGAAAAAAGTCAAATCAAAATATTATTGCATTATATCGAATTTTAAATTAAATATATAATATTCTTATTACATCTAATACGTCATTTTTACTTTTGAAAAATTAACCGTTTAAAATAACTCTGTAATCAATTAATAAAAATCTTTAAGACAACTATTTATTTCAACTTATAATTTAATACTCCTATTATCTTAATACTCTAATAGTGTCCTAAGTCAATTATAATTGTTTTTGCACGTACCAACAAAATATATAAGAAAATTTGATTAATACAATATTTTGCATGTTATATATTCTCTATTTTTATCTTTAAACCGATATATGTAAAATAAAAGAAAGGATTTTTTAAAGATAAATAAAAGGTTAAAAATAAGTAGTAATAATATAGAATATTTTCCAACTTACCTGAATGTGCACCACATATCAAAGCTCATTATACTTAACCAAAAGAAAGTCGCTATTTCGCAAAAGTATTCTAAAAAAGCTGTAAAAATGAATAAAATTAAAGACTGTAATAATAATTAATAAATAATAATATACAATATTATTAATATACATATAAATGTAATATTTAATTTGCTCTTATAGTTGAGAAATAAATAATGAGCAGGAAAGAAGTTGAAACAGCTACGCGAAGTATAATTTGATCGCAAATACAGCTTTATTTAGTAAACAAATTTTTTCTATTAAATAAAGAAACTTTATATATGCGACCTAATTACTTCGCGTTGCTCTTTTGGTCTATTTCCTGCTCCTTATATATTTCTATATTATGAATAATTAATAATATATTATATAAAATATTATAATAAACTATTATAATAAAATATATATATAATTAATATTATTATTAATAAATAATAATATATTATTTATCATTATTCGTTAAAATTGCAGGATTTCAAAGTTATCACATTTATATGTTTCTCCATTAAAACAGATTTACTTTAACTTTTTATACTAAATTTTATAGTAATATTTACGTAATAAATACTGCTAATATCAAATTAAACATGTTTGATTCAATATGTAATTTTTCAAAATTCAAAAACCCAAAAAAATATATCTATTTGAGACGAATAACTTATATTATTTATATATTAAAATGTATTTAAATAAAATTTAAGTGTCATTCACTGTTTTGCATTTTTAAAATTTTAACAAATAATATATTCAAATAATTATTAAAACTATTAATTAATATTTAATATGCAAATATACATTAAATATCTGACAAATATAAATATATTAATTGCATAGTTTTATTATTTACATATATATTCTACCTATTATAACGCAGACAACATACTGTATATCATCCGATTTGATCATTATATTTACAAAGTCAATTCCGTATGCAACAGTCAGGGCACCGCTATAATTGCGCAACATAAAATCGTGTTTATTTCGGAGTTCTGGCAATATGGAATACACCAGAAATACTGACCCCAAAAGTAATATAGATACTATATCGGCACTCATTTCTATAATATCTTCGTTTGTAATAGTATTCATGATCTTATTAGTTTCATTATTAGTGGTTATCTTCTTGAACTTGTCATAAGTTTTGGAACAGATGGTTACTTCGAACTCATTCCCGTCGACGACGGCGAGACAATATGATGTCGATTCAACAAATATTTTATCAAAAGTTAAATATATAGAACCGTTAATGAAAATCTTATAATCATGGATATCTTTGGAATGCAGAACGTGACCTTCCTGACACGAATCATAAATGGCTAGCTCAAACAATACGTTCACTCTTTTTTCGCTCTGCGTCGAATCGTTCGTGTATACGTTTGGAAAAATGTATTCAATTCCTTCAGGAATGCAGTTGCCATTAACCAGACGATCGCCAAGAGAACAGCAGAGCCGAATGCAAGTATCATTATGACACATTTCGTTTGGAACGATGATAGTTTTATTAGCATCTTTGCTGGAATTTTTGAAGACTTCAAATGACATGGAATCATTCTTTTCAATTACATTTTCATGAACTTGCTCAGCCGTGAAATTTCTTTTATGATTGACATATGTCGAATTTGTGTTAGATTTCATCGATTTTTGCTCATCATCTTTATTCTGCATTGAATGCTTGTAACGTTTATGTTGAATGAAATCATTATCCTCGCGTTTATTATTCATATGAAATTCATGCTGCATTTCGTCATTTTGTGTATTGTTCATCAAATTTTTATACAAATCATGTCGCAGAGTTATTATTTCGTCGTCAAAATTTGTTGTAGAACCCGTATTTATCTCGTATCGTATCGTCAAATTATCATCCTCGTTGGTGGAATTTTGCTGCGATTTCGATAACGAAATGACGAAGAGAAGCACGGAACACACAAATGCAAACATTTTTCCACTCATTACTTCATGTAAGAATATACTTTTGAATAATTAGATAATCAAATTTAGTGTTTACAATTACTCATACAAGTTTTACATTTTCAATAATTAAAAAATGTCATATTATATTTCTACATATATCTTTGTTTTTGTATTAATTGCAATAAAATGTGTCAAGTGCAAAATATAATAAAATTAAATGATCTTATTCTATTTCTCAGCAAAATCTCGAAAGGTCGATTAGATTTTAGCACAATTATTATTAATATTAATGATTGTACGTATTAAATTTTAATTATCTCACTAGATAAAGTTAGTATTATATCACTGTATCCGGCTTCTTTCTAATAGAGAAATACTCAAGATACATCTGCCAGTGCAGAGGAAACAAGACTACCGAGAACGACGAGTCGTCGAGCTTTGCCAGAAATTGCGTTTGTTTATTATAGGAGACTATACACATATAGGATATACTATACACATATTATAGCTTTGACATACTATTTTCTAGCACTATTAACGTAGATGATTACGCGATTGATTTTTAATTATCTCGTTGCATTCGTTAAAACGTATAATGTATCACTATATTTAAGTTTGACTTCTTTTTCTAAAAAAGCGAAGAATATATGTATAAAAAATGTATTTGCACGAGAGAAAAAATTAAACTACCGAAAAAGACGAGTCGAAAAGTTTTATAGGGGAACTCACATACACACAGTCCATCTACTACTTTATAAAATTGCATATATTATATATAATTATACAAATTTTATATAAACTTATTTTATATAAATATTAAACAAATTTAAGTATACAAAAATAGCAGAAAAACATTTGGGGAATTTTCTACTAACATAAATTGACCAATCCAGCACCGAAATAGAATAAACTCGTAAAGCCAGTCTCTCAAAACATCAGTGAACTTTACAATTTGGTTAAATTATACCTTTTAGTTTCATTAGCATCTTTGCTTGAATTTTTAAAGACTTCAAGTAACATGAAATCATTATTTTCAATTACATTTTCATAAACTTCCTGAAGCATGAAATTCTTTTTTGATTGACATTTGTCGAATTCATGTTAGATTTCATCGATTTTGCTCATCATCTTTATTCTGCATAGAATGCTTGTAACGTTTATGTTAAATCAAATAATTATCCTCGCGTTTATTATTTATATTCGCATTTATTTGTATCGTATCGTCAAATTATCATTTTATTGGTGGAAATATACTGAAATTTCGATGACGAAATGACGAGGAGAAGAACGGAACACACAAATAAAAACATTTTTCCACTCATTATTTCACGTAAGAGTATACTTTAGAATAATTAAATATAATCAAATTAGTGTTCATAATTTCTCATAAAAGTTTTAAATTTGCAAGAATTAAAAATGTCATATTATATTTATGCATACCTTTGCTTTTGTATTAATTGCAATAAAATGTATCAAGTACAAAATATAATAAAATTAAATTATCTCATTTTGTTTCTCAACAAAATCTCGACAAATCGATCTGATTTTAGCACTATTATTATTATTATTGATGATTACAAGTATTGAGAATTTTAATTATCTTAAAAGATAAAGTCAGTATTATTAATATATCACTGTATCCAGCTTTCACATTTTCTGATAGAAGGGTGCACAAGATACATGTGCCTGCACAGGAGATGAAACTAGGAGATGAGACGAGGACGACGAGACGTCGATAGCTTTGCGAAAAACTGTCCTTCTACTATACTATATGAGACTATACACTATATAGAACTTTGACATACTATATACAAAGAAAACTACTGTAGTGCTATTTTTGTTTTATGTTGTTTTTATTTTTGTAATCTACCATTTGTGGATTGAGCGGATACTGCTTTGCGCGCAAAACTTGCCCGTAAGTTGAGCGTAAGGTACAGATACAGGTGTCTTTATTGTTAAGTCGATTATCTCAAAATGGTTTGTCGTATGAAAAAAATCAAAGAGTCCACACATAAGTTTTGTCAATTGAAAAGTAGCCCCCCCCTTAAACATCCTTCGAATTTTGTTAGAAAATTTTTAACAGTAAAAATGAATAAAACACTTAAGAAATGTGTATGTACCAATTTTCATAAAATTCTAAGTCTAAGTTTAAACATATACGAAAAATTCGAGTTTTTTGGAGAAACTTTGGGGAGGTGAGCTGTAGTCAGAGGGGTGCGTTTCCGGACATATGTTTATAAAACAATTTTACTTATTTTGACTTGTAGAATATACCTTTTTGTTTCTACTATCAGCTCTGGGACACCCTGTATTTTAATAACAACTTATAGTAATTTCATGCAAATTTCGTAGCAGCTTTCTAAAGTTTTACAAATATTAAAATTGAAAATAATATATATCAGCCTACAATTAACAATTTTAAAA